ATTATAAAAGTTTGGCACTATCTTTTTTGGTAATTTGACACTCAAAAGTACTTTTTATAAAGATTGGCCAAACACAATTTGTTTATCAAATATTGTAAAAAGTACTTCTTAAATGAATTGGCCAAACACAAATTATTATTTTTCAAAAGTACTTTTGAAAAAAGTATTTTAGAAAAAAGTACTTTTTAAAATAAGCAGATTTTGGCAGCTTGGCCAAACGGGCTCTTAGTAGTTTACCGTTGAGGTCATCTTAGTGTTTGGCAGAAGTAGCCAGAACAACCCATTTTGTTCTTCCATTGCTTTGCAAGAAAAAGAAGAAAAAAAAAAGTGCGAGGATTAAGATAGAAAATTGTACAAAAGTACTCCCTCCAAAAGTGCGAGGATTAAGATAGAAAATTGTACAAAAGTACTCCCTCCATTCATTTCTATATGTACAACTTCAGTCAAAAAAAAAAAATTCAAAATATTAAGCACATTAGAAAATCAAGAAGGCATTAACTTTTTCCTTTTTAGTTTTATCCTTGCTCTAATAAACGATATTAAAGTTTTCAAAAGTTTCTCATAAGTCGTCACAAAGTTTAAGGAGAGATGAAAGGTAATTTAGACAAATAATATTTTTAGAAATAGAGCCATTAAATATCTTTCTTTCAGGGGTTGCGAAAGCCTTAAAAGACAAAAAAAAAAAAAAAGGAATTATTATAAAACAATAAAAGAAGAAGAAGAGTATTGCAGAGAAAAGTAGAGGGAGAGAATTCTTATTGATTTGGGATGAATTACAATGGAATAGAACCTTCTATTTATAGGGAGAGGGTGACTTAGCCACCAAGTAATAAACCCTAGAATCTCTCTAAATATAGACATTCACCATAAATAAAATTCTATTTATAACACTCCCCCTTGAATGTCTATTCAACAGATAATGTGTCTCGTTAAAACCTTAGCTAAAATAAAACCCAGTGGGAAAAAAAATTCTAAAAAAGGAAAAAGAGTGCACATATCTAACAATACGCCTTTTGGTTGCCTCGTTAAAAACCTTGCAAGGAAAACCCAGTGGGACAAAACCTTCTAAGGGAAAAAGAGTACAACGCGTATTAACTCCCCCTGATGAGAGCATCAATTCACATCCTTAAGCATTTGCATTCCAATCTTGTGCACCATCTTCAAAAGATCTTTGGTAGAGATTTGATGAACAAATCAGGCATATTAACTTGAATGAATAAATTGCACCTTGAAATCATCATTCTTGATAGATATATAATGTCGTGGAGTGGCTCTTCAATATCTCCATAGAGATTTTCGCTATCATATTATCATGCTTATAATTATAGCAAGATATATATATGCACAAATTGCACTGAGGATGTAGTACTTCAAGATCAAGAATTGTATATGCTTCAAGCAACTTAAATCCTTCATGGGTTATCACATAAGTTAAGTCATATAAGCCATATAGTAGACTTTAGATGCATATCAAGTTTTCATGTCATGCTAGACATATAAGATATCGAAAACTGATTGCACGTACCATTGACTTTACACTTTCAAGTGTTTGAACTACATGTTCAACAACTATATGTCTTTCATATAAAATCAATTCTACTTGAATTGTTTCTCCAGACTTAAGATCCTCATATATATTTAGTGCTATAATCAATGTCATCGACAAACATTTTATATCGGTTCCAACCTCCTTATTTTTCATAAAGACATAACATAGAGATCTCTTCATTCATATATTAAGGTACCTGAATCTCTCATGAGATTTTATGAAGTGTTATGTCATGTGATCTTCTAGATCACTTGCCTCCTTTATTATGATCATTTTGATCATTTGCTCATATTATTTATCGAGAAGTTTATTTGAAACCGATTGTCTATACGCTTTAAGCTTACCATAGACTTTGTCCTTCTAGGACTTAATAGGAGCATTTGCAATGAGAATATAGTTACTTTCTTTGGGTCAGCAAATGCGTCCGGCATGCTTTGCAATATATTGCAGATGAATTATCCTTTATGAACTTCAAGTTCATATTATCTTATTCGAGGATCGAGATGTATAAATAATAATTCATTCCATGTAACTTTTTCTCAACTGTTTATCATGTCTCCCCCTCATGTTAGAAAAACTAACTTGTTACCTCAACTTTGAGAATCCCCCTTTGTGCGTTATGGTGTTAATCAAAATATACACCGCACATCAATAATAATAAGATGAAATTATTTGGTTCCTGACCCTGAACCACTTGTGAGGGGAGAAAATAATATACTTTGGTATATAACGTATATCAAATTGATAAAGATAACTTTGTTCTCATAAGCAAATGTTTAGATATTAAGTAGAGGCACTTAATAAATCATTTTGCTAAACCAACTGTGATGTAAACCAACTTATCAAGATGAAATTCTTGAATAGAAAATCTGGAAATTATGCTCGAAATTAAATTATTGAGCAAGTTACCTCGCAAAACACCATGTTGCGGGTTATTAATAATCGCACATGTAACCATCTCATAGATGCATCTTATGTGGTATACATGGCAGGTGAATGGGCCCATATTCACCTTTGATATTTCCAGCATTCATGGGATTCAATCCCAATTTTAGTTGGTATATTAATTAATGAGAACAGGCAACATAAAAGAATTCGTAAAGAACTTTCTCGTTCTTTAATATTTACCCATGTGAATTCTCTTTTATTTTTGCACATCATACTTAAATTAATATGGGTAAACCAATTATGCCAACTGAATAAATTATCAATATTGATAAACTTCAGATTTACGCCATGACGTATGGAATTATCAATAAACTCCAAGTTTATTATGATATGGGTTTTTATATCAATAAATATCCACTTTATTGTGGTATTCTTTTGTTTGTGTAGTACAAACTAGAGAATAAAGCGGGTAGCTTTTCACATACATATTACCCCGCTACAAGTTGTAGTAATAGAAGATATTAAATCTTTCCTTTATTTATAGTCTCAATATAATCAATTGCTTTCGCGTATACTTTGGAAACTGAATAAGTTTCTTTGAGACTTACTACAACACAATACCTTATTGTTAATCAATTGTGTTTCTCCAAAATAGTAATAATTGGCTCTTCCAGAGCTCTTAATTAATTTGGTACTACCACATATTCATCAACATCCGTATGATGAATATCTCTTTTAAAGAGAAAGTTATACCATTATGGTTATGGTCAAAATTTTATGCAAGATCTGTTTCTTGCATTACTGTTGTCTTTTAATAATCACAATGCCAAAATATTTTGGCGTACAATAGGTACGTGACCAATGACCATTCATGCCATAATAATGACGTTATTTTCTTATATCATCCCAAACCTCCTTTTAGAGGTGAGTACAGTATATTCACTACCACTAGCACGTTCATATTCTTTGAAGAATGAATATGTATTCATAAATCAGATGTTGTCACATTCACATCATGAATTGACCATAATCATCTATATGTGCTTTATAAAATCTCTTGTCAAATCGATGACAAATACTTTCACAAAGTGGGGGATTATTTTGAGAATCCTTATTATTCTCATTATCACAATGATGACGATTATAATTTCGTCTATTGCCACGTCCACATCCATTGATACATTCATAGTGATAATTTTATCTTCTTTCAGACTTATCACATACTGCTATCACATTCTCTTAAGGGAATGAGAATGGAGCAAATTCAATGGGACGGGTTTCCACTTTTTGTGCCCATAATCATACATGAATTTGATCATGGCAAAACATAGAAATTTTTACCACTTCAGGTGGTTATAATTTTTTACAAACTCCATTAGAGTAATAATCAAACTTTGTTGTCTTTGCTTGTACATAAAATCAAATTATAGAATTTCAAGAATTTAAAAGAGAAAAATAAAGTAAAATACTTACCTGAAATCCAGAATTTAATCATGAAGGAAGTTCATGGAATAATTGACAATTATTATGCTCAATCCCTAAACTTCTACTCTATTTGTTAGAGCCTCGTGTTGATAACGTATTATAAAGCAATAAAAGAAGAAGAAGAGTATTGCAGAGAAAAGTAGAGGGAGAGAATTCTTATTGATTTGGGATGAATTACAATGGAATAGAACCCTCTATTTATAGGGAGAGGGTGACTTAGCCACCAAGTAATAAACCCTAGAATCTCTCTAAATATAGACATTCACCATAAATAAAATTCTATTTATAACAGGAATATAGTTTTTAGCTTACAAAAAAGTCTACTATTGAGAAACACTCTCCCCTGCCTTTTTATATGATGTTTTTTTACTAAACACGAAATTTATGAAGAAATTATCTTTTAAAGTTTGTGATCTTAAACGTACACGATACTCATTTGGTTATAAGTTAGCTATATTTGGGCTCTGTACGACGGACTGCTCCTTACTCATGAACCAAAGGGAGAGGAATTGAATCTGCATCTCTCCAGTTTCTTGATTTTTTTTTTCTTTTTTCATGTTTCTTGATTACTTGATGTTCCTTATTGTTTCTATTTTTTCAATCTCGGCCGAGCGGATGTCAATGTACTTATTGTTTCTTTTTCATCTCTCCAGTTACGATATGTTACTTACCATTTATACTAGGTTATCAATCGATGTTTATTAAGTGGAATTACCTTCAACGTAAATTCATACACTTTTTCGCTTAGTCAGTGCATATAACTTAGCAATAAGCTCCAGGAGGAAAATAGTTCAACCAGCTTCCGCATTTCTTCAATCTTTTCTTCAAATTCTTATCCATTCTTCGACCTCTTCATTACCAATCAATTCTTAAAAATCCATCAACTCTCTTGTAACGAGTTGCTAAAGTTCCATTTCCTACACTTCTACCACTTGCTAGAATAGTCGTACATTTCGGAAAAAAGGAGCTGTCGAGGGAATATGATGCACGTCTCCATTTCTTGATTACTTTATTGTCTTGCTTATAATGTAAAAGTTGACTTTGGACATGTTCAAATTGTTTAAGCTGGTTTCTGTCCGATTAAAATGCTTGAGACAAGAATCCTGTTTACATTGTGTAATTGAATTTTAAAAAGATATAAAACTACAAAAAGGAACAGATGGCTCTCAATGGTCCATTATCAGCTAATAACCATCTTCATGATCTAAAACTACACGTCCTTTTTATTCTATTAGTCACTGCAACCATTGAGGGCCTTTTAGATGGATTCTTGAAGGTACAGCAAATTGCTAGCTGTAACAATTGAACCATCTGTTCTCCAAAATTCTGGTAATTATGCAGCAGCATACTATCAAAAACATCAATAATAGGCTTTTCTTGAAACATATCTCGAACCCAACTAGGTAAATCAACCCCTGTGTTCTTGCCAATTGCTTCCAACGGGGCCTTACCAGTCAGTAATTCCAAGAGCAGGACACCGAAGCTGTAAACATCAGATTTCGGAGAAACATCGTAGGCATTTTCCACTTCTGGTGCTTGATAGCCAGGGATTAGGACAAACTTGGAGTTTGGCACGAAAAGTCTGAAAATTTCATTTTCTGAGAGATGAACATCGAAACAATTGTTGAGTAAAACATTGGATGACCTTATGTTACCATGGCAAACACCAGGGCCTTGAGCATGGAGAAATTGGAGACCACGAGCAACTCCATAAGCGATTCTAGTCCTTACTTCCCATGTGAGTGGAGCTTTCTTAGCCACTTCATTGTCTATGTAACACATGTGAAGTTCAACAATATTCTTAGGTCAAGGAAAATAAAGGTAACAAGATTGTCAAACAATTTACTAAGAAAGATGTGATAATAAAAAATTGTGCATGTTGTATTAGTTTTGCAAGAATTTCTAGTGTAAAAAGAAGAATGTTATAAAACATCAATAAGAGACATGTGACAACAACAACGACAAGTAGAGAATAGTAAGTACCCAGACCTTATCCCTAGCTTGTGGAGGCAGAAAAATTGTTTCCAATAACCCTCTACTCAAGGAAAGCATATGCATAACAGTAATGAAAAACAATAATGGCAGTATAGAAGCCACGAAAGGAGACAGTAACAACAAGAAGATAATAGGATAAGAAAGGCCAGAAGAAGCTTACCATGCAAAAGGGAAGCCAAACTACTCGTGGGCATGTAATCAAATATAAGAAGCTTCTCATCTTTTGAATAGTAATAAGCTCTTAGAGGAAGCAAACTCTGATGATCACTCAATTTTGCTAATTCTTGAATCTTTTGATTAAACTCCTCTTCATGCAAACAACAATCTTTTAACCTCTTAACAGCCACAGTTTTTCCATTTTCCAATTCTGCCTTATAGCTAAATCCAAAAGTTCCCTTCCCCAAGAGTACCGCTTCTGATCTCAGTAAGTCTTCCAAATCATACTCCTCCATAGAACTCCCAGAAAACTCTAGTTTATGATTCACAAATGTTATTTGGCTTTGTACCATTTTGCGCCCAAAATGCAACGATAGTGGGAAAAACCTGCGTCAAATACTGGTTGCTATGAACTTTCTGCAGAAACTCCTTTGCACAAAGAAGGGAAGAATCTAGGTGCCAACTATGTGGCCTAATTAATATAAGGCTGTTAGTTGAGGATTCAAAAGAGAAAAACCATGTCTGACTTTTTATATCTATTAATTATTCCAAAAATCAATTTGAAATGCATATCAAAATAAAGACTAATGAATTAGATTATGAAAATAAAGACTTGTAAGCCACCTGCTCTATGTTAAATATTTATTTATTTTTCTTTTAGGGAATATTACGCATACTTTGACCAGATACTTGGACTATTCAAGAAAAATGAAGAGAAGTGGCAGGTATGCCAAAGCTCAGATTTATTTAGGATTGACTTTTTTTTTTTAAATAATCGTGGCGTTCGGGTTAATTTGCGGGCAGCTCGACTTATTTCACGGGTACCTGCTACCGAATAACTCTGAATTTTGCATTGACTTTTTGCTAGGTGCGCATTGGATTAATGGTACAAATGCATGACAAACAATCCCCAAAAAAGATTAACTAAGAAATTTACCCCCAAGGACCAAGAACCATTCTGTAAATACGTGTCTTGTAAAGTTAAGGTGTACACTGAATATAAGTCAGTCAAGAAAAGTTAAAAAAGACTGGCAAGCGGGAATTGAACCAACAATCTAATAAAGATTTTGAACCCCCTTAAGTACTGAGTTATGGTTTTGAGCTGTGATAAATGAATTCAAATATAATATATGTAGATACAAATCGGATTTTACCTTATGTGTACAATATAATTTTTTTTACGGAAGGTCCGCCCCTGGGTCTAACTCAAGAATTTACCTTAGAAGTTACAACATATACCTTCCAGGAGGATTGGACATCTGTGGTGGACTTAACATATGAAAGTAAATGCAGCAAGAAGTTAACGAAACACATTTTACTAAGTAAGAAACTAAATTTTGTTTGGGCAACTGAACATATTTTATTACCAAAAGTGACACAGTACAGTTCAAAACAAAAGAAAAAGGGAATGAACCATGTCTATATATAGCGGCAACACAAATATAAAATAAGAAATTTAGACTCGGCTAGACAGGATAAAAATTTAGAGTATTTAAGCATCTAGCTTGCTAACTTCACATGCATGCTTGCTCGGACAAACACCTCTTTGAACTATCTTATGCTTCCCTTGTAAAGTTTAACTTACACTAATTGCCCAAAAGACAAGTTAAGTCACAAAAGGTAACCTGTAAACACAAAATGTTGGGGTTGGGAAACAGAAGTAAAATTTAAAAAAAAATCTAATTTCTCAAAATAAACTAATTAAGAAGACAACCAATTTTCACTGGAAGTCACGTAGTAATAGTGAAGAAGGCAATCTTAAGTCAGTAATTGAACTCGAAATACAAACTAATGATGGTCCCAATTTCCTAATTACTTGAAACAAAGTATGGTGTCAAATATCCAAAACAAATTGTAATTACTACTATTAGAATTTCGGAAAAAAGCGACCAACATTTAGCAACCAAAGTTAGTCTGTGGAAAAAAGCGACCAACGTTGGTCGCAAAACAAGCGAAAATAATTAAATAAATAGTTGAAACACATTAGCGACCATGGTTGGTCGCTAATTGGTCGCTAAATTAGTCAAACTGTTGACTGAGCTGGTCAGACTTGCTCGGTCAAAGGTTAACAGAGATTAGCGACCAATGTTGGTCGCTAAAGTGGGACCTAACTATAAAATTTTAATAATTATATTATTTTAAAAAAATTATAAAATATAAATATATAGAATTTAAAATTGGCGACCAATATTGGTCGCTAATAAAAGGGTAGGCAGATAGCGACCAACATTGGTCGCATAAGTGGGACCCACATATAAAATTTTAATAATTATATTATTAATTTAAATATTACATAAAATATAAATAAATCTGATATACATTTAGCGACCAACTTTGGTTGCCAATTAATTCATGTATAATTAGCGACCAACTTTGGTTGCCAATTAATTCATGTATAATTAGCGACCAAAGTTAGTCTCTATTCAGGTCGACAATGGTCAAAATTAAAAATCACTTTTGTATTTACTATCATAATAATATAAATATAAGCCGTTAATACTTTTGTAATACAAGGGATGAATAGTACTACGAAGCGTGCGTGTGTCTCTCTCTCTCTCTCTCTCTCTCTCTCTCTCTCTCTCTCTCTATATATATATATATATATATATATATATATATATATATATATATATATATATATATACACTTACGCTGTACTATGCACTAAGTATAAGCGTATTAGGTAATATTATATCGAATATGGCTTATATATATGTAATATATATACTTACGCTGTACTATGCACTAAGTATAAGCGTATTAGGNTATATATATATATATATATGTAACGACCCGACCGGTCGTTTTGAGTACTAGCGCTCCGTTCAGCAGTCGGAGGCCATGAACAGCTTTATTTCAGGTATTATGACTTCTACGCGTGGTCGGAATTGAATTTCGGGAAGTCCAGAGTTGATTTTGGAATAGAATTCTTATTTCGGAAGCTTAAAGTTGAAAGAATGAAGTAGGATTGGAATTTTGAGTAAACAACCTCGGAATCGGGATATGAAGGTTCCAATAGGTTCGTATGATGATTTCGGACTTGGGCGTATGCCCGGTTTGGGTTTTGGATAACCCGGGAGCGTTTGGCGCCTATTGTGGAAGTTAGCAGTTTGGAAGAAATTTCTTAAGTTTGGCTTGAAGTGCATTTCAGTGTTATCAATGTCCGTTTGAAATTCCGAGACTGGGAGTAGCTCTGTATGGTGATTCTGGAGTTGGGAGCGTGATCGGTAGTGAATTCGGTGGTCCGTAGGTCATTTTGAAGCCATATTGCTAAAGATAGAAATTTGAAGGTTTTTGAGAAGTTTGACCGGAAGTGGACTTTTTGATATCGGGGTCAGAATCCAATTCTGGAAGTTGGAGTAGGTTCGTAATGTCAAATATGACTTGTGTGCAAAATTCGAGGTCAATCAGACATGATTTGATAGGTTTAAACATCGAAAGTAGAAGTTGGAAAGTTCAAAGTTCAGAAAGCTTGAATCGGGGTGTAATTCATGGTTTTAGCGTTGTTTTATATGATTTGAAGCCTCGAGCAAGTCCGTAATATGTTTTGGGATTGGTTGGTAGTTTTGGTCGAGGTCTCGGGGGCCTCGGGTGGATTACGGGTGGTTAACGGATCGAAAATGGAATTTTAGAAGGCTGAAGTTGTTGGTTGCTGGTATTTCCGCTTCTGCGAAATTGGGACCGCAGAAGCAGGGAAGGAACCGCAGAAGCGGTTGGGAGTGAAAGGACAGGGACCGCTTATGCGGTCAGGAATCCGCATAAGCGGATCCGCAAAAGCGGTAGGCTAATCGCAGAAGCGAAAATGTGAGGCCCAGTGGAAGCCGCAGAAGCGGCTGGTTTTTTGCAAAAGCGGAACCACTGAAGCGGTTGGACGTCCGCAGAAGTGGAATTTGGCTGGAGCCCAGGGACCGCAGAAGCAGAATCTTTTCTGCAAAAGCGGGGCCGCGGAAGCGGGTATATTTCCGCAGAAGCGAAAGTACCTGGAGGCAGAAGGTTATTTTAAATCGGGAGATGGTCATTTCTCTCCCATTTTCCACTTGGTATGGGCGATTTTGGAGAGCTTCAAGAGGGGATTTTCGTCACCAATGTTAAGGTAAGTTATCCCCGCCTATTATGAGTTAAATACATTGATTATGTATGGATTTGGGCATGAAAATTAGTATAAAAATTGAGGTTTTGGTGGAAAACCTAGGAAATTATATTCTTGGAATTTAGCCACGATTTGGGAATGGAAGTAAGAGAAAAATTATATATTTGAGTTCGTGAGTTCATGGGTAAACTTTATCTTCGAGAAATTTCGGATTTCGGGCACGTGGGCCCAAGGGCATTTTCCTCAAGTTTTAGTTCGGGGTTAGGAATTGTTACAAATTGGGTTGTAAAGTTTAATTGAGCATATATTAATGGATTTGTATCATCATTGACTAGTTTTGGAGCATTGTGCGTTGGTGCAAGTCTTCGGAGGAATGTAGAATGCCGGTTATGAGTCTTTGAAGCGAGGTGAGTCTCCTTTCTAATCTTGTGAGGAAGAATTTACCCCATAGGTGAGTTAAATTGCTTATGTGTTCCTATTTGTGGGGGCTACGTACGCACGAGGTGACGAGAGTCTGTGCGTAGCTACTATTATGCTATTGTACGGGTAGTCTAGGACCCAAAAAGCATGTTATATTTGGATTAATTGTGAACCCATTGATGGCTTGAATTGCTTAAATCACATTAAATTAATGAATGGATTTCTAAAAAGACTTAAGCTTCGTTTTCTCAAATTATTAAAGAGAATTGGTCTTTCTTGGATAATTGCTTCATGTTGACTTCTTGACTGACTGTCTGTCTGTGTGTGTTTATTTTGGAACGGGCCGAACGCCTCGGCAGATTAATAGATGCATCTATAGGCGCGTCGTCAACCCTCGGCAAGTGCACATTTATTTCTGTTGGATCGGGCCGTCGCCTCGGTGTGATTTGCGCATGCTCATGTTGCTGCCTGAACTTAATTAAGTTATTATTGCCTTTTTGTGGCTTAAAAATATTTGGATTATATTTAAAAGAAATTTTGGAAATTTTCCTATGAAAGAATTACGTGTTCACTTGTTTTCTCTATCTGGATTAAAATCATGTTTATAAAATAAATCCACTGTTTAATATACATATATCAAGGATAAATCGTTATTGGATCATTAGAGAGTGTCAAAGTTGACCATCTCGTCTCTACTCCTTCGGGATTAGGTGGGATACTCATTGAGTACACGTTGATTACGTACTCATACTACACTTCTGTGCATTTTTGTTGCACAGGCATATATACCTCTAGCAGCCTATTGGGCGTAGCAGCACAGATGTTTTCTGGGACTAGGTGAGCTGCATCATTCGAGGCGACCGCAGCTAGTGTAGTTCCTTTCAGCCTTTGTATTTTATTCCCTGTCTACTATATTTCGGACTGAGGTTGTATTTTATTT